AAAACTAAAACTAAAACTAAAATGCTATTAAAAAGGGTTGTGTTTTTTTTCCCTGACTGCTATTCCTTCTTGGACCACAGGAGGGCACTGTTTTCTCTAGGGTTGCGGAACTGCCACAGAAGAATCTTAAAATGCCATCGAAAAGGTGTATTTCTTTTTCTGGCTGCGATACCTATTTTGACCACAGGACGGCACAATTTTCTGCACCTTAGCGATAACTTTAAGTCACGGGACGGAAAACTGTGCCCTCGTGTGGCCAAAACAGGTATCGCGGCCGCAAAAAGAAAGAAACCTTTTCGATGGCATTTTAAGATTCTTCTGTGCCGGCTCCGCAATCCTGGACAAAACAGTGCCCTCCTGTGGTCCAAGAAGGAATAGCATAACAACCCTAAAACTCCATTTAAAAAGTTTCTTTCTTTTTGTGGCTGCGATACCTATTTTGACCACAGGAGGGCACAATTTTCTGCCGTCCTGAAAATAACATTTTCAAGTCATGGGACGGAAAACTGTGCCCTCCTGTGGCCAAAACGGGTACTGCGGCTGCAAAATGGCATTTTAATGGGATTTTAAGGTTATTATCCTGTATCTTTATTGTTAACGTCTTATTAATATTTATTAATTTATTAATATTTATTAATATTAATAATATTTATTAAAATTAAATATTTATTAATATTTATTAAAGCAATAATTATTAATTTATTAATATTTATTAAAGCAACGGGAGGCCCGTTTGCTGCAACACAGGAACTGGAAAAGAAATCCCCTTCAAAAGCCTTAACCGGAGTTAAGGAGGCCTGTGATGGCCTATTGATATTAATAAAGTTTTAATATTAAAGAATAACAACCCTAAAACTCCATTTAAAAAGGTTCTTTCTTTGGGTTGCTGCGATCCCTGCTTGGACCCTTAGGAAGAACAAAGGAAGGAGGAGGAGAGAGAGGAAGGAAGAGAAGGGGAGAAGAAAGGTTGGAGTAAAGGTAAAGGTTTACCCAGAGCAGCCCTTAAAAAGTAAAAATGAAAAATGAAAGTTGAAAGGTCGTTTTTTACCAACGGCGATGAGGGTTGCACAGGAGGCGGACGGAAAGTTGCGCTGACGCTGGGAAGGTCGCTCCGAGAAGCGCTGGTACGGAAAAAATCGGCGACCGTGCTTTTTCTGCCTGCTATTCCTTCTTGGACCACAGGAGGGCACTGTTTTCTCCAGGGTTGCGGAGCTGCCACAGGAGAATCTTAAAATGCCATCGAAAAGGTTTCTTTCTTTTTGGGGCTGCGATACCTGCTTTGACCACAGGAGGGCACAATTTTCTGCACCTTAGCGATCACTTTGAAGTCATGGGACTGAAAACTGTGCCCTCGTGTGGCCAAAACAGGTACTGTGGCTGCAAAAAGAAACCTGTACCTTTATTATTAACGTCTTATTAATATTTATTAAAGCGACGGGAGGCCCCTTTGCTGCAACACAGGAACTGGAAAAGAAATCCCGCTTCAAAAGCCTTAACCGCAGTTAAGGAGGCCTGTGATGGCCCATTGATATTAATAAAGTTTTAATAATAAAAAATAACAACCCTAAAATTCCATTTAAAAAGTTTCTTTCTTTTGGTTGCTGCGATCCCTGCTTGGACCGCAGGATAGCGCTGTTTTTTGTCAACCTTAGCGTGGAGGCCGTTGTAGACCTTTTGACCTCAGGTTAAGGCTTTTGAAGCAGGATTCTTTCTTTTTGCCTGTTATACAGAAATAATAATCTTTAAATGCTATTAAAAAGGGTTTTTTTCTTTTTTTGTCTGGCTGCTATATCTGCTTGGGCCACAGGAGGGCACTGTTTTCTGTCCCTTAGCGATAGCTTTGAAGGTATCGAGATATTACTTTATCGTGGTGGTAGGCTGTGAGGAGAACCCCTAACCCTAACCCTAACCCCTGACCTTTGACCCTGACCCCTGACCTTTGACCTTTGACCTGTGCCTCCCAGCGATTTACCTCCTTGCAGCAAGCAACAAGAAGAAACAGCCCATTTCAGCTTCAGCACAGCCTAATTAGCACAACTTGATTGGATCCGCAGCCCGACTCTCAGCTGTTTTGCCTGGCCTCTGCTGCTTGCTGCAAAGAGGTAAATGGCTGGGAACAATTTTTTTTTTTGTGCTACTCAAGCTATGTTGAAAATAAAAATGAAAGTAAAGCAGGCTATTTTGCTGTAACGAGGCAAAATTGCTGACAGGAAGAGGCAGATTTCTTTTTCTTGTTTTCCTCACCAAAAAAGGGAGGTGCATCTTATAGTCCAGAGCATCTTATACTCCAAAAATTACAGTATATGCCGTTCGTCTCCCTGATAAGACGACTGTCTTATCAGGGAGACTGTGGCAGGCTACAGGCAATCTTCTCCGCAGCGTAAGAAGACAGAAGGATGCGTTGAATTTGACACTACCGATTTCCCTACGAAGCCTCTGCAACAGCACTTGCCCGCAAAACCCCCAGATTACAAGACTGGGGCTGTTCATCTTAGAAAAAGAGCCACGTGCTGAGGTGCAGACGTGAAGGGGAGGATGCCGTTCTCCCCTCAAAACAGCAGTCCTAACGGATCAGGACAGGCCAAAGAAAGTCTTTCCTCAAGAAATTAGCGTTAACGTACAGAATCTGCTTCCGTGGGGACCAGGTGATGGCCACCGACCTCAATGGACTGAAAGGGGGGACGATGGAGGGGACTGTTTGTCATGAGGCTACGTGCTGCCTGGGGCGATGAGGGCTAGATGCTTGAGCTGAAGGAGGCTTTCCTGTCCTACTTCTTGGGCTTTCAACCGGTCCGATGGAAAGCAAAATCCGAGCGGGCTTTAACTGAGTAAGAGGGTCAAGACTGCCGCTGGAGATTCGGAGGGCAAAGGAGCCCGGGGGGCCTAGCGGAAGAGGTGGTGGAGGACGGAGGCGGTCCCTCTGACTAAGGACGGGTGCAGGGAGGAGAATGGGACCGAGGGGCCGGTCCTTGGAAGTGGATGGCTGCAACCGGTAAGCGAATGGGGTTCCCGCGCTTTTGAATATTTCAATTTACTGAGAAGAAACAGCTACGGTATCTTATATAAGCCGTAAGCAGGTGATGGGTCCAGCTGAAAAATCTACATGGACAAAAATGTGTAAACTGCAAAATACAGGTATAATTTTATTTACGGTTTAATATAGTATTAACAATGATAGGCAATCTGGCCTGACTATTTGCACTGAAATAGGAACAACTCCTTCTCTCAAAGTATATCCCCAAAGGACAGCTATCAGGGAGATATGCCGGTACTGCTCTGTCCCTCGTGATCGCTTTAGAGGTGCGATTGGCCTCTGCCTTGAAAGATCCTGGATCCCGGGGTCTCCCCGGTTGCTGTGTCACAGCTGGATACTCACGGATTGGTGCGTGAAGGGCCACGTGTTCCTGGGATGGCGTGGAGTACTTGTACTGCTTGCCACAGAATTTACAGGTATAGTTGCCTGTTTCTACAAAGTAAGAAAACAATTTTCGGAAGGAGAAAAGGTTTTCCCAAAAACCCTTGACCCAAACGTGGATCTCAATTCAGAGCGTAGCAGGCTAGACGTTTCCCACGTGACCTCGTGAGATGAGTTCCAAGTTTTCTTGACCGAGGGGGCCCTGGGCGCCCACCTTCGTGTTAACTGTTTCCTCTGTTTTGCCCCAGCTCTCTTTCCTGGAGAGAGGCTGAAAAGACACGGCTGCTACAGAGGCTAGACTTCCTTTTGCAGAAGTAGCGTTTGGGAGTGGGCTGTATAAACCGTCGCAGACAGCAAAGGCCAAGTCGCGCTCTCATCAGCGCTTACGAGGGGTATCATCTCAGATCGTGATCGATTTCTAGTTTTAATATCGCTCCCCACCCTCAATTTCACCCTATTCCCGAAGAAAACATGGTAACGTACTTTTTTTTATCCCAGAGGACAATACTTAGACGATATCTTCCCCTTTAATGAAGAGCTCTTGGTGAATTCTAAAATTAAGTCATGAGAAATGCAAGTGGAATGTTTTTCCTAGGTCTGAATATAATTATAAATTATAAATTATAAATAACGTGCGCTTAATTCCTTCTCTTTGCAATAAAGTATTTACATCTAAATACTTTGGCCAAATTGGATTGTTTTAACCAGATGCTTATAAAAGTATGTAACGTTAAGCGAGAATAATTTTATAATTCCCCGACTCAACCGTGTTTGTTTCTTCTCTATGTCAAACGTGGAAGATTAATTTTTTGGTTTACTTAGGAGTGCTATTTGCAAGCAGGTTGCTTGTCTCCTGACGGATGGCCACAGTCCGAGTTCGAGCTGTTGCTTTGCGTGCAAAAGGTCCAGGTTCACCCCTGCGTTTCCAGGGAAGGGCTGGGAAAAACCCCTCTGCTTGAACGATGTTCAGAGCCCTGCAGCCGGTCCGTGCCGATAGTCGTGGGACAGATGGACCGACGAGCAGACCTGATACCGAGCGGCTTTCGGGCATCCTGGGAGTTATTCTGCCTGCTACGCCTTGGAAAACCTAGCGGTTGCTATCGGTGCTCCTTAAACAAACCCCGGTGAAAGATACATCCGAGGAAGATTTTCCGACGTGTCACCAGCCGTGCCCAGAGGAATGGAGTCGGGGTCCCGCACGGGCAAAGAATGTGCTCTTTCTCTTGGACTAGTGAGAGCTTCCTGCCTTTGCCAGAAACGCTCCATCCCTGGCTTGGGCCTGAAACCTCAGCTCTGAAACGCTGAAAGCTAGTTAATGACTTAAGTGGGGCTCCTCTTCTTTCACCTCCTCCTTGGCAATCGTTGCTTGGTCGTAGGGGTCTGCGAGAGGAGAGAAGGAGGAGAGAGCTGATCGGGGCGTGTGGAAACGCCTCCCTGGCTTTATCCCTCGGGACCTGCTCTCATCCTTAGTCTTAAATAGACTAACATACATTTCACACGTGTATAGTATTTTTACTGAATATATTTTTCTTGATAATCTCCCTATTAAAGTGACTAATAATAAGATGTGTGTTTCCAATTCGGGATATAAAATTTGCACTTATTATTTCTTTTTAAAGTGTGACAACTTGATTGCAAAAAACTGCAGTCGTTCTTAACAAGAGTCAGACTGCTTCCAAAAAGCAACACGACCGGCCTACCTCTACCAAGAGGCCCCGAGACTCTCCTATCCACCAAACAGGCGCTCTTTCTCCCGACGGAGTGGATTAATCTCTGCACACACCCACGGGTGCTTCAAACTGCAACACGGCAGGGCTTCCGGCTCCATTCTCCATCCGTTGAGCATTCGCCCGAATGCTCCTCAGTCAAAGACTTCCTAAAGTGTTGGAATCGTTGAGCCAGAAGTTTCTATTGGCTGAAACTTTATTGTCAAAAGTTATATGGTATTATGTCTCTAAACTAGCTGGGTATATGTAGATAAGTGCACACACAACAACAACAACATTCTAATGGTTTCCCTTGGATTTTGATTTTTTGCATCACCCAATGGTGTCAACGGCCCTGCACAAAAGCTCCCCTCCCCGGCTTCTTTCCATAAAATGCAGGCCGGGGTTACCTGCGAAGAGCTCTAAGCGATAACTAAAGGTCCTGAGAACGGGTGCCGGAGCCTGCAGGCTTGCCTGCCCCGTGCCTCCTTTCCCTTCCCTTGGGAGGAGATGGGAAGCTCTAGTCCCGTGATGATGAACCTGTGGCATGCGGAGCCATATTGGTGGGCACGCGAGGGTTGCCCTAGCTTGTTGTGGATTTAATAAGACAAACACAACTTTTGGATTAATCAGAGACAATTTGTATATTGCGCAATAGGTTCAAAGCTCTGTACGTGAAGCGTTGAACAAAGACAGAAATTAGGTACAATGGTTTTATACCCTTCTAGACAAAGGATTCTGTTAACTCAGCAATTCATATGGTCATATACATTTGTCATTTTTAATTGACATTTCCTAATTACTGAGTTTCTTTGCAAAACAGTTATAATTCTTTTGTAGATTACTGAAGCATAGACTCAAATCATCTTCTGACGATAGACAACTTTTAACTCGTGTGGATCCCCGTGACCTAACCAACCTTTAAGCTGTATGTCATTAGAATGTTCCTTTCTTCTGACAACTTAGAGGCCTCCTAGAGGAACCAAAATTTTGGCTGAGTTGTACTTTTTCCAACCGGATGCATTGCTTTTTAGAATCGAGTGAATAGAAAGTTATCCAGTGGTCATCTATCAGAGCCCGCTTCATTTACATTAAGCTCAACTCCAGCGTGCATGCACATGTTGGCCAACTGATTCCGGTCCCACTGGAAGTCAGGAAACGAGACGAAATGAAACCCTAACCCTAAACCCTAAACCCTAAAAGATTGAACTGGAAAGGGAAACGACAGGAGAGAGGGGAAGGGAGAACAGAGGACAGGAGAGAACAGGAGAAAGAAGAAAGGGGAAAGGAGAGGAAGAAAAGGGAGGGGAAAGAGGAGTAGAGGAGTGGGGGAAGGGAAGGGGAAGTAGGAAAGAGAAGGAGAGGAAGAACAAAGGAAGAACGAAGGAAGTAGGAGGAGAGGAAGGAAGAGAAGGGGAGAAGAAAGATTGGAATAAAGGTAAAGGGTAAAAGAGCAGCCCTGAAAAAATAAAAATGAAAAATGAAAGTTGAAAGGTCGTTTTTTTCCAACGGCGATGGGGGTTGGACAGGAGACGGACGGGAAGTTGCGCTGACTCTGGGAAGGTCGCTCCGAGAAGCGCTGGTACAGAAAAAGTCGGCGACCGTGCTTTTTCTGCCTGCTATTCCTTCTTGGACCACAGGAAAGCACTGTTTTCTCCAGGGTTGCGAAACTGGCACAGAAGAATCTTAAAACGCCATCAAAAAGGTTTCTTTCTTTTTGGGGCTGCGATACCTGCTTTGACCACAGGAGGGCACAATTTTCTGCACCTTAGCCATAACATTTTCAAGTCACGGGACGGAAAACTGTGCCCTCGTGTGGCCAAAACAGGTATCGCGGCCGCAAAAACAAATAAACCTTTTCGATGGCGTTTTAAGATTCTTCGGTGCCGGCTCCGCAACCCTGGACAAAACAGTGCCCTCCTGTGGTCCAAGAAGGAATAGCATAACAACCCTAAAACTCCTTTTAAAAAGTTCCTTTCTTTTTGTGGCTGCGATACCTATTTTGACCACGGGAGGGCACAATTTTCTGCACCTTAGTCATAACTTTGAACTCATGGGACGGAAAACGGTGCCCTCGTGTGGCCAAAACGGGTATCGCGGCCGCAAAAAGAAACCCTTTTAATGGGATTTTAAGGTTATTATCCTGTATCTTTATTTTTAACGTCTTATTAATATTTATTAAAGCGACGGGAGGCCCCTTTGCTGCAACACAGGAACTGGGAAAAGAAATCTCGCTTCAAAAGCCTTAACCGGAGTTAAGGAGGCCTGTGATGGCCTATTGATATTAATAAAGTTTTTATATTAAAGAATAACAACCCTAAAACTCCATTTAAAAAGGTTCTTGCTTTTGGTTGCTGCGATCCCTGCTTGGACCCTTAGGAAGAACGAAGAAAGTAGGAGGAGAGGAAGGAAGAGAAGGGGAAAAGAAAGGTTGGAGTAAAGGTAAAGGTTTACCCAGAGCAGCCCTTAAAAAGTAAAAATGAAAAATGAAAGTTGAAAGGTCGTTTTTTACCAACGGCGATGGGGGTTGCACAGGAGACGGACGGAAAGTTGCGCTGACGCTGGGAAGGTCGCTCCGAGAAGCGCCGGTACGGAAAAAATCGGCGACCGTGCTTTTTCTGCCTGCTATTCCTTCTTGGACCACAGGAGGGCACTGTTTTCTCCAGGGTTGCGGAGCTGCCACGGAAAAATCTTAAAATGCCATCGAAAAGGTTTCTTTCTTTTTGTGGCTGCGATACCTGTTTTGACCACAGGAGGGCACAATTTTCTGCACCTTAGTCATAACTTTGAACTCATGGGACGGAAAACTGTGCCCTCGTGTGGCCAAAACGGGTATCGCGGCTGCAAAAAGAAACCCTTTTAATGGGATTTTAAGATTATTATCCTGTACCTTTATTTTTAACGTCTTATTAATATTTATTAAAGCGACGGGAGGCCCGTTTGCTGCAACACAGGAACTGGGAAAAGAAATCTCGCTTCAAAAGCCTTAACCGGAGTTAAGGAGGCCTGTGATGGCCTATTGATATTAATAAAGTTTTTATATTAAAGAATAACAACCCTAAAACTCCATTTAAAAAGGTTCTTGCTTTTGGTTGCTGCGATCCCTGCTTGGACCCTTAGGAAGAACGAAGAAAGTAGGAGGAGAGGAAGGAAGAGAAGGGGAAAAGAAAGGTTGGAGTAAAGGTAAAGGTTTACCCAGAGCAGCCCTTAAAAAGTAAAAATGAAAAATGAAAGTTGAAAGGTCGTTTTTTACCAACGGCGATGGGGGTTGCACAGGAGACGGACGGAAAGTTGCGCTGACGCTGGGAAGGTCGCTCCGAGAAGCGCCGGTACGGAAAAAATCGGCGACCGTGCTTTTTCTGCCTGCTATTCCTTCTTGGACCACAGGAGGGCACTGTTTTCTCCAGGGTTGCGGAGCTGCCACGGAAAAATCTTAAAATGCCATCGAAAAGGTTTCTTTCTTTTTGTGGCTGCGATACCTGTTTTGACCACAGGAGGGCACAATTTTCTGCACCTTAGTCATAACTTTGAACTCATGGGACGGAAAACTGTGCCCTCGTGTGGCCAAAACGGGTATCGCGGCTGCAAAAAGAAACCCTTTTAATGGGATTTTAAGATTATTATCCTGTACCTTTATTTTTAACGTCTTATTAATATTTATTAAAGCGACGGGAGGCCCGTTTGCTGCAACACAGGAACTGGAAAAGAAATCTCGCTTCAAAAGCCTTAACCGGAGTTAAGGAGGCCTGTGATGGCCTATTGATATTATTAAAGTTTTAATAATAAAGAATAACAACCCTAAAACTCCATTTAAAAAGGTTCTTGCTTTTGGTTGCTGCGATCCCTGCTCGGACCGCACGAGGGCTCTGTTTTCTGTCAACGTTAGCGTGGAGGCCGTTGTAGACCTTTTGACCTCAGTTTAAGGCTTTTGAAGCAAGATTCTTTCTTTTTCCCCGTTATGTAGCTCCTGGGCCTCCAGTTGCTCTATTAATATTAATAAAGCTTTTAATAATAAAGAGACAGAATAATAATCTTTAAATGCTATTAAAAAGGTTTTTTTTTTCTGGCTGCTATATCTGCTTGGGCCACAGGAGGGCACTGTTTTCTGTCCCTTAGCGATAGCTTTGAAGGTATCGAGATAATACTTTATCGTGGTGGTAGGCTGTGTGGAGAACCCTAACCCTAACCCTAAACCCTAACTCCTAACCCCTTTGACCTTTGACCCTGACCTTTGACACCCCCTGACCTTTAACCTTTGACCTTTGACCTCTGCCTCCCAGCGATTTACCTCCTTGCAGCAAGCAACAAGAAGAAACAGCCCATTTCAGCTTCAGCACAGCCTAATTAGCACAACTTGATTGGATCCGCAGCCCGACTCTCAGCTGTTTTGCCTGGCCTCTGCTGCTTGCTGCAAAGAGGTAAATGGCTGGGAACAATTTTTTTTTTTGTGCTACTCAAGCTATGTTGAAAATAAAAATGAAAGTAAAGCAGCCTATTTTGCTGTAACGAGGCAAAATTGCTGACAGGAAGAGGCCGATTTCTTTTTCTTGTTTTCCTCACCAAAAAAGGGAGGTGCATCTTATAGTCCAGAGCATCTTATACTCCAAAAATTACAGTATATGCCGTTCGTCTCCCTGATAAGACGACTGTCTTATCAGGGAGACTGTGGCAGGCTACAGGCAATCTTCTCCGCAGCGTAAGAAGACAGAAGGATGCGTTGAATTTGACACTACCGATTTCCCTACGAAGCCTCTGCAACAGCACTTGCCCGCAAAACCCCCAGATTACAAGACTGGGGCTGTTCGTCTTAGAAAAAGAGCCACGTGCTGAGGTGCAGACGTGAAGGGGAGGATGCCGTTCTCCCCCTCAAAACAGCAGTCCTAACGGATCAGGACAGGCCAAAGAAAGTCTTTCCTCGAGAAATTAGCGTTAACGTACAGAATCTGCTTCCGTGGGGACGAGGTGATGGCCACCGACCTCAATGGACTGAAAGGGGGGACGATGGAGGGGACTGTTTGTCATGAGGCTACGTGCTGCCTGGGGCGATGAGGGCTAGATGCTTGAGCTGAAGGAGGCTTTCCTGTCCTACTTCTTGGGCTTTCAACCGGTCCAATGGAAAGCAAAATCCGAGCGGGCTTTAACTGAGTAAGAGTGTCAAGACTGCCGCTGGAGATTCGGAGGGCAAAGGAGCCCGGGTGGCCTAACGGAAGAGGTGGTGGAGGACAGAGGCGGTCCCTCTGACTAGGGACGGGGGCAGGGAGGAGGATGGGACCGAGGGGCCGGTCCTTGGAAGTGGATGGCTGCAACCGGTAAGCGAATGGGGTTCCCGCGCTTTTGAATATTTCAATTTACTGAGAAGAAACAGCTACGGTATCTTATATAAGCCGTAAGCAGGTGATGGGTCCAGCTGAAAAATCTACATGGACAAAAATGTGTAAACTGCAAAATACAGGTATAATTTTATTTACGGTTTAATATAGTATTAACAATGATAGGCAATCTGGCCTGACTATTTGCCCTGAAATAGGAACAACTCCTTCTCTCAAAGTATATCCCCAAAGGACAGCTATCAGGGAGATATGCCGGTACTGCTCTGTCCCTCGTGATCGCTTTAGAGGTGCGATTGGCCTCTGCCTTGAAAGATCCTGGATCCCGGGGTCTCCCCGGTTGCTGTGTCACAGCTGGATACTCACGGATTGGTGCGTAAAGGGCCACGTGTTCCTGGGATGGCGTGGAGTACTTGTACTGCTTGCCACAGAATTCACAGGTATAGTTGCCTGTTTCTACAAAGTAAGAAACAATTTTCGGAAGGAGAAAAGGTTTTCCCAAAAACCCTTGACCCAAACGTGGATCTCAATTCAGAGCATAGCAGGCTAGACATTTCCCACGTGACCTCGTGAGATGAGTTCCAAGTTTTCTTGACTGAGGGGGCCCTGGGTGCCTACCTTCATGGTAACTGTTTCCTCTGTTTTGCCCCAGCTCTCTTTCCTGGAGAGAGGCTGAAAAGACACGGCTGCTACAGAGGCTAGACTTCCTTTTGCAGAAGTAGCGTTTGGGAGTGGGCTGTATAAACCGTCGCAGACAGCAAAGGCCAAGTCGCACTCTCATCAGCGCTTACGAGGGGTAGTTAGCATCTCAGATCGTGATCGATTTCTACTTTTAATATCGCTCCCCACCCTCAATTTCACCCTATTCCCGAAGAAAACATGGTAACGTACTTTTTTTTATCCCAGAGGACAATACTTAGACGATATCTTCCCCTTTAATGAAGAGCTCTTGGTGAATTCTAAAATTAAGTCATGAGAAATGCAAGTGGAATGTTTTTCCTAGGTCTGAATATAATTATAAATTATCAATTATAAATAACGTGCGCTTAATTCCTTCTCTTTGCAATAAAGTATTTACATCTAAATACTTTGGCCAAATTGGATTGTTTTAACCAGATGCTTATAAAAGTATGTAACGTTAAGCGAGAATAATTTTATAATTCCCCGACTCAACCGTGTTTGTTTCTTCTCTATGTCAAACGTGGAAGATTAATTTTTTGGTTTACTTAGGAGTGCTATTTGCAAGCAGGTTGCTTGTCTCCTGACGGATGGCCGCAGTCCGAGTTCGAGCTGTTGCTTTGCGTGCAAAAGGTCCGGGTTCACCCCTGCGTTTCCAGGGAAGGGCTGGGAAAAACCCCTCTGCTTGAACGGATGTTCAGAGCCCTGCAGCCGGTCCGTGCCGATAGTCGTGGGACAGATGGACCGACGAGCAGACCTGATACCGAGCGGCTTTCGGGCATCCTGGGAGTTATTCTGCCTGCTACGCCTTGGAAAACCTAGCGGTTGCTATCGGTGCTCCTTAAACAAACTCCGGTGAAAGATACATCCGAGGAAGATTTTCCGACGTGTCACCAGCCGTGCCCACAGGAATGGAGTCCGGGTCCCGCACGGGCAAAGAATGTGCTCTTTCTGTTGGACTAGTGAGAGCTTCCTGCCTTTGCCAGAAACGCTCCATCCCTGGCTTGGGCCTCAAACCTCAGCTCTGAAACGCTGAAAGCTAGTGAATGACTTAAGTTGCAAACTCGGTCAATCGTACTTGGACCGATCTTCTGAAAGGGCTCGGGCTCCTCTTCTTTCACCTCCTCCTTGGCAATCGTTGCTTGGTCGTAGGGGTCTGCGAGAGGAGAGAAGGAGGAGAGAGCTGATCGGGGCGTGTGGAAACGCCTCCCTGGCTTTATCCCTCGGGACCTGCTCTCATCCTTAGTCTTAAATAGACTAACATACATTTCACACGTGTATGGTATTTTTACTGATTATATTTTTCTTGATAATCTCCCTATTAAAGTGACTAATAATAAGATGCGTGTTTCCAATTCGGGATATAAAATTTGCACTTATGATTTCTTTTTAAAGTGTGGCAACTTGATTGCAAAAAACTGCAGTCGTTCTTAACAAGAGTCAGAATGCTTCCAAAAAGCAACACGACCGGCCTACCTCTACCAAGAGGCCCCGAGACTCTCCTATCCACCAAACAGGCACTCTTTCTCCCAACGGAGTGGATTAATCTCTGCACACACCCACGGGTGCTTCAAACTGCAACACGGCAGGGCTTCCGGCTCCATTCTCCATCCGTTGAGCATTCGCCCGAATGCTCCTCAGTCAAAGACTTCCTAAAGTGTTGGAATCGTTGAGCCAGAAGTTTCTATTGGCTGAAACTTTATTGTCAAAAGTTATATGGTATTATGTCTCTAAACTAGCTGGGTATATGTAGATAAGCTCACATACAACAACAACAACATGCTAATGGTTTCCCTTGGATTTTGATTTTTCGCATCAACCAGTGGTGTCAACAGCCCTGCACAAAAGCTCCCCTCCCCAGCTTCTTTCCATAAAATGCAGGCCGGGATTACCTGCGGAAAGCTCTAAGCGATAACTAAAGGTCCTGAGAACGGGTGCCGGAGCCTGCAGGCTTGCCTGCCCCGTGCCTCCTTTCCCCTCCCTTGGGAGGAGATGGGAAGCTCTAGTCCCGTGATGGTGAACCTGTGGCATGCAGAGCCATATTGGTGGGCACGCGAGTGTTGCCCTAGCTCAACTCCAGCGGGCATGCACATGCTGGCCAACTGATTACGGTCCCACCGGAAGTCAGGAAAGGAGACGAAACAAAACCCTAACCCTAAACCCGAAACCCGAAACCCTAAACCCTAAAACCTAAAACCTAAACCCTAAAAGATTGAACTGGAAAGGGAAATTACAGGAGAGAGGGGAAGGGAGAACAGAGGACAGGAGAGAACAGGAGAAAGAAGAAAGGGGAAAGGAGAGGAAGAAAAGGGAGGGGAAAGAGGAGTAGAGGAGTGGGGGAAGGGAAGGGGAAGTAGGAAAGAGAAGGAGAGGAAGAACAAAGGAAGAACGAAGGAAGTAGGAGGAGAGGAAGAAAGAGAAGGGGAGAAGAAAGGTTGGAATAAAGGTAAAGGGTAAAAGAGCAGCCCTGAAAATAAAAATGAAAGTTGAAAGGTCGTTTTTTTCCAACGGCGATGAGGGTTGGACAGGAGACGGACGGGAAGTTGCGCTGACTCTGGGAAGGTCGCTCCGAGAAGCGCTGGTACAGAAAAAGTCGGCAACCGTGCTTTTTCTACCTGCTGTTCCTTCTTGGACCACTGGATGGCACTGTTTTCTCCAGGGTTGCGGAACTGGCACGGAAGAATAACGTACAGATAACAATCTTAAAATGTCATCGAAAAGGCTTCTTTCTTTTTGTGGCTGCGATACCTGCTTTGACCACAGGATGGCACAATTTTCTGCACCTTAGCGATAACTTTGAAGTCACGGGACGGAAAACTGTGCCCTCGTGTGGCCAAAACAGGTATCGCGGCCGCAAAAAGAAAGAAACCTTTTCGATGGCATTTTAAGATTCTTCTGTGCCGGCTCCGCAACCCTGGACAAAACAGTGCCCTCCTGTGGTCCAAGAAGGAATAGCATAACAACCCTAAAACTCCATTTAAAAAGTTTCTTTCTTTTTGTGGCTGCGATACCTATTTTGACCACAGGATGGCACAATTTTCTGCACGTTAGCCGTAACTTTGAACTCATGGGACGGAAAACTGTGCCCTCGTGTGGCCAAAACAGGTATCGCAGCCGCAAAAAGAAACCCTTTTAATGGGATTTTAAGGTTATTATCCTGTATCTTTATTGTTAACGTCTTATTAATATTTATTAAAGCAACGGGAGGCCCCTTTGCTGCAACACAGGAACTGGAAAAGAAATCCCGCTTCAAAAGCCTTAACCGGAGTTAAGGAGGCCTGTGATGGCCTATTGATATTAATAAAGTTTTAATATTAAAGAATAACAACGCTAAAACTCCATTTAAAAAGTTTCTTTCTTTTGGTTGCTGCGATCCCTGCTTGGACCCTTAGGAAGAACGAAGGAAGTAGGAGGAGAGAGAGGAAGGAACAGAAGGGGAGAAGAAAGGTTGGAGTAAAGGTAAAGGTTTACCCACAGCAGCCCTTAAAAAGTAAAAATGAAAAATGAAAGTTGAAAGGTCGTTTTTTACCAACGGCGATGGGGGTTGCACAGGAGACGGACGGAAAGTTGCGCTGACGCTGGGAAGGTCGCTCCGAGAAGCGCTGGTACGGAAAAAATCGGCGACCGTGCTTTTTCTGCCTGCTATTCCTTCTTGGACCACAGGAGGGCACTGTTTTCTCCAGGGTTGCGGAGCTGCCACAGAAGAATCTTAAAATGCCATCGAAAAGGTTTCTTTCTTTTTGCGGCTGCGATACCTGCTTTGACCACAGGAGGGCACAATTTTCTGCACCTTAGTCATAACTTTGAACTCATGGGACGGAAAACTGTGCCCTCGTGTGGCCAAAACGGGTATCGCGGCTGCAAAAAGAAACCCTTTTAATGGGATTTTAAGATTATTATCCTGTACCTTTATTTTTAACGTCTTATTAATATTTATTAAAGCGACGGGAGGCCCGTTTGCTGCAACACAGGAACTGGAAAAGAAATCTCGCTTCAAAAGCCTTAACCGGAGTTAAGGAGGCCTGTGATGGCCTATTGATATTAATAAAGTTTTAATAATAAAGAATAACAACCCTAAAACTCCATTTAAAAAGTTTCCCTGCTTGGACCGCACAATGGCGCTGTTTTTTGTCAACGTTAGCGTGGAGACCGTTGTAGACCTTTTGACCTCAGGTTAAGGCTTTTGAAGCAGGATTCTTTCTTTTTGCCTGTTATACAGAATAATAATCTTTAAATGCTATTAAAAAGGGTTTTTTTCTTTTTTTGTGTGGCTGCTATTCCTCCTTGAACCACAGGAGGGCACTGTTGTCTGTCCCTTAGCGATAGCTTTGAAGGTATCGAGATATTACTTTATCGTGGTGGTAGGCTGTGTGGAGAACCCTAACCCTAAACCCTAAACCCTAACCCCGACCTTTGACCCCGACCTTTGACAGCCCCTGACCTTTAACCTTTGACCTTTGACCTCTGCCTCCCAGCGATTTACCTCCTTGCAGCAAGCAACAAGAAGAAACAGCCCATTTCAGCTTCAGCACAGCCTAATTAGCACAACTTGATTGGATCCGCAGCCCGACTCTCAGCTGTTTTGCCTCGCCTCTGCTGCTTGCTGCAAAGAGGTAAATGGCTGGGAACAATTTTTTTTTTGTGCTACTCAAGCTATGTTGAAAATAAAAATGAAAGTAAAGCAGCCTATTTTGCTGTAACGAGGCAAAATTGCTGACAGGAAGAGGCCGATTTCTTTTTCTTGTTTTCCTCACCAAAAAAGGGAGGTGCATCTTATAGTCCAGAGCATCTTATACTCCAAAAATTACAGTATATGCCGTTCGTCTCCCTGATAAGACGACTGTCTTATCAGGGAGACTGTGGCAGGCTACAGGCAATCTTCTCCGCAGCGTAAGAAGACAGAAGGATGCGTTGAATTTGACACTACCGATTTCCCTACGAAGCCTCTGCAACAGCACTTGCCCGCAAAACCCCCAGATTACAAGACTGGGGCTGTTCGTCTTAGAAAAAGAGCCACGTGCTGAGGTGCAGACGTGAAGGGGAGGATGCCGTTCTCCCCCTCAAAACAGCAGTCCTAACGGATCAGGACAGGCCAAAGAAAGTCTTTCCTCGAGAAATTAGCGTTAACGTACAGAATCTGCTTCCGTGGGGACGAGGTGATGGCCACCGACCTCAATGGACTGAAAGGGGGGACGATGGAGGGGACTGTTTGTCATGAGGCTACGTGCTGCCTGGGGCGATGAGGGCTAGATGCTTGAGCTGAAGGAGGCTTTCCTGTCCTACTTCTTGGGCTTTCAACCGGTCCAATGGAAAGCAAAATCCGAGCGGGCTTTAACTGAGTAAGAGTGTCAAGACTGCCGCTGGAGATTCGGAGGGCAAAGGAGCCCGGGTGGCCTAACGGAAGAGGTGGTGGAGGACAGAGGCGGTCCCTCTGACTAGGGACGGGGGCAGGGAGGAGGATGGGACCGAGGGGCCGGTCCTTGGAAGTGGATGGCTGCAACCGGTAAGCGAATGGGGTTCCCGCGCTTTTGAATATTTCAATTTACTGAGAAGAAACAGCTACGGTATCTTATATAAGCCGTAAGCAGGTGATGGGTCCAGCTGAAAAATCTACATGGACAAAAATGTGTAAACTGCAAAATACAGGTATAATTTTATTTACGGTTTAATATAGTATTAACAATGATAGGCAATCTGGCCTGACTATTTGCCCTGAAATAGGAACAACTCCTTCTCTCAAAGTATATCCCCAAAGGACAGCTATCAGGGAGATATGCCGGTACTGCTCTGTCCCTCGTGATCGCTTTAGAGGTGCGATTGGCCTCTGCCTTGAAAGATCCTGGATCCCGGGGTCTCCCCGGTTGCTGTGTCACAGCTGGATACTCACGGATTGGTGCGTAAAGGGCCACGTGTTCCTGGGATGGCGTGGAGTACTTGTACTGCTTGCCACAGAATTCACAGGTATAGTTGCCTGTTTCTACAAAGTAAGAAACAATTTTCGGAAGGAGAAAAGGTTTTCCCAAAAACCCTTGACCCAAACGTGGATCTCAATTCAGAGCATAGCAGGCTAGACATTTCCCACGTGACCTCGTGAGATGAGTTCCAAGTTTTCTTGACTGAGGGGGCCCTGGGTGCCTACCTTCATGGTAACTGTTTCCTCTGTTTTGCCCCAGCTCTCTTTCCTGGAGAGAGGCTGAAAAGACACGGCTGCTACAGAGGCTAGACTTCCTTTTGCAGAAGTAGCGTTTGGGAGTGGGCTGTATAAACCGTCGCAGACAGCAAAGGCCAAGTCGCACTCTCATCAGCGCTTACGAGGGGTAGTTAGCATCTCAGATCGTGATCGATTTCTACTTTTAATATCGCTCCCCACCCTCAATTTCACCCTATTCCCGAAGAAAACATGGTAACGTACTTTTTTTTATCCCAGAGGACAATACTTAGACGATATCTTCCCCTTTAATGAAGAGCTCTTGGTGAATTCTAAAATTAAGTCATGAGAAATGCAAGTGGAATGTTTTTCCTAGGTCTGAATATAATTATAAATTATCAATTATAAATAACGTGCACTTAATTCCTTCTCTTTGCAATAAAGTATTTACATCTAAATACTTTGGCCAAATTGGATTGTTTTAACCAGATGCTTATAAAAGTATGTAACGTTAAGCGAGAATAATTTTATAATTCCCCGACTCAACCGTGTTTGTTTCTTCTCTGTGTCAAACGTGGAAGATTAATTTTTTGGTTTACTTAGGAGTGCTATTTGCAAGCAGGTTGCTTGTCTCCTGGCGGATGGCCATAGTCCGAGTTCGAGCTGTTGCTTTGCGTGCAAAAAGTCCAGCTCCACCCCTGCGTTTCCAGGGAAGGGCTGGGAAAAACCCCTCTGCTTGAACCGATGTTCAGAGCCCTGCAGCCGGTCCGTGCCGATAGTCGTGGGACAGATGGACCGACGAGCAGACCTGATACCGAGCGGCTTTCGGGCATCCTGGGAGTTATTCTGCCTGCTACGCCTTGGAAAACCTAGCGGTTGTTATCGGTGCTCCTTAAACAAACCCCGGTGAAAGATACATCCGAGGAAGATTTTCCGACGTGTCACCAGCCGTGCCCAGAGGAATGGAGTCCGGGTCCCGCACGGGCAAAGAATGTGCTCTTTCTGTCGGACTAGTGAGAGCTTCCTGCCTTTGCGAGAAACGCTCCATCCCTGGCTTGGGCCTGAAACCTCAGCTCTGAAACGCTGAAAGCTAGTGAATGACTTAAGTTGCAAACTTGGTCAATCGTACTTGGACGGATCTTCTGAAAGGGCTCGGGCTCCTCTTCTTTCACGTCCTCCTTGGCAATCGTTGCTTGGTCGTAGGGGTCTGCAAGAGGAGAGAAGGAGGAGAGAGCTGATCGGGGCGTGTGGAAACGCCTCCCTGGCTTTATCCCTCGGGCCCTGCTCTCATCCTTAGTCTTAAATAGACTAACATACATTTCACACGTGTATGGTATTTTTACTGATTATATTTTTCTTGATAATCTCCCTATTAAAGTGACTAATAATAAGATGCGTGTTTCCAATTCGGGATATAAAATTTGCACTTATGATTTCTTTTTAAAGTGTGACAACTTGATTGCAAAAAACTGCAGTCGTTCTTAACAAGAGTCAGAATGCTTCCAAAAAGCAACACGACCGGCCTACCTCTACCAAGAGGCCCCGAGACTCTCCTATCCACCAAACAGGCACTCTTTCTCCCAACGGAGTGGATTAATCTCTGCACACACCCACGGGTGCTTCAAACTGCAACACGAAGGGCTTCCGGCTCCATTCTCCATCCGTTGAGCATTCGCCCGAATGCTCCTCAGTCAAAGACTTCCTAAAGTGTTGGAATCGTTGAGCCAGAAGTTTCTATTGGCTGAAACTTTATTGCCAAAAGTTGTATGGTATTATGTCTCTAAACTAGCTGGGTATATGTAGATAAGCACACACACAACAACAACAACATGCTAATGGTTTCCCTTGGATTTTGATTTTTCGCATCAACCAGTGGTGTCAACAGCCCTGCACAAAAGCTCCCCTCCCCAGCTTCTTTCCATAAAATGCAGGCCGGGGTTACCTGTGAAGAGCTCTAAGCGATAACTAAAGGTCCTGAGAACGGGTGCCAGAGCCTGCAGGCTTGCCTGCCCCGTGCCTCCTTTCCCCTCCCTTGGGAGGAGATGGGAAGCTCTAGTCCCGTGATGGTGAACCTGTGGCATGCGGAGCCATATTGGTGGGCACGCGAGTGTTGCCCTAGCTCAACTCCAGCGGGCATGCACATGCTGGCCAACTGATTACGGTCCCACCGGAAGTCAGGAAAGGAGACGAAACAAAACCCTAACCCTAAACCCGAAACCCTAAACCCTAAACCCTAAAACCTAAAACCTAAACCCTAAAAGATTGAACTGGAAAGGGAAATTACAGGAGAGAGGGGAAGGGAGAACAGAGGACAGGAGAGAACAGGAGAAAGAAGAAAGGGGAAAGGAGAGGAAGAAAAGGGAGGGGAAAGAGGAGTAGAGGAGTGGGGGAAGGGAAGGGGAAGTAGGAAAGAGAAGGAGAGGAAGAACAAAGGAAGAACGAAGGAAGTAGGAGGAGAGGAAGGAAGAGAAGGGGAGAAGAAAGGTTGGAATAAAGGTAAAGGGTAAAAGAGCAGCCCTGAAAATAAAAATGAAAGTTGAAAGGTCGTTTTTTTCCAACGGCGATGAGGGTTGGACAGGAGACGGACGGGAAGTTGCGCTGACGCTGGGAAGATCGCTCCGAGAAGCGCTGGTACAGAAAAAGTCGGCAACCGTGCTTTTTCTACCTGCTGTTCCTTCTTGGACCACTGGATGGCACTGTTTTCTCCAGGGTTGCGGAACTGGCACGGAAGAATAACGTACAGATAACAATCTTAAAATGTCATCGAAAAGGCTTCTTTCTTTTTGTGGCTGCGATACCTGCTTTGACCACAGGATGGCACAATTTTCTGCACGTTAGCGATCACTTTGAAGTCACGGGACGGAAAACTGTGCCCTCGTGTGGCCAAAACAGGTATCGCGGCCGCAAAAAGAAATCAACCTTTTCGATGGCATTTTAAGATTCTTCTGTCCCGATTCCGCAACCCTGGAGAAAACAGTGCCCTCCTGTGGTCCAAGAAGGAATAGCATAACAACCCTAAAACTCCATTAAAAAGTTTTTCTTTTGGTTGCTGCGATCCCTGCTTGGACCGCAGGATGGCGCTGCTTTTTGTCAACGTTAGCGTGGAGACCGTTGTAGACCTTTTGACCTCAGGTTAAGGCTTTTGAAGCAGGATTCTTTCTTTTGTGCCTGTTATGTAGCTCCTCGGCCTCCCGTTGCTCTATTAATATTAATAAGGCTTTTAATCATAAAGATACTGAATAATAATCTTTAAATGCTATTAAAAAGGGTTTTTTTTCTTTTTTTTTTCTGGCTGCTATTCCTTCTTGGACCACAGGGGGGCACTGTTTTCTCCAGGGTTGCGGAACTGGCATAGAAGAATCGTAAAATGTCATCGAAATGGTTTATTTCTTTTTGTGGCTGCGATACCTGCTTTGACCACAGGATGGAACAATTTTCTGCACGTTAGCGATCACTTTGAAATCATGGGACGGAAAACTGTGCCCTCGTGTGGCCAAATCAGGTACTGCGGCTGCAAAAAGAAACCCTTTTAATGGGATTTTAAGGTTATTATCCTGTACCTTTATTATTAACGTCTTATTAATATTTATTAAAGCAACGGGAGGCCCGTTTGCTGCAACACAGGAACTGGAAAAGAAATCTCGCTTCAAAAGCCTTAACCGGAGTTAAGAAGGCCTGTGATGGCTTATTAATATTCAGATTGACAAAACACAGAAGGGGTTTAGTCTTTCACAAGAAGATAAAATTGAACAAGTTTTGCATCATTGCAACATGAAGGATGCTAACACAACAAAGACACTCATGCAAACAGATTTTCACAACTTGACACATGAAGCGAGTCCTGAGTTCGAGGATCAAACGCTTTATCGTTCAGTTATTGGGTCACTGGTACATTAGTAGTTGGACCAGACCCGACATTGCACTTAGTGTAAATCTTTTGTTTCGACACGTAGGTAAGGCAAAACAGTTTCATTGGACATGTGTTAAGAAATTATTGAAATACCTAAAACACACTAAACATATGAAATTATGGTTAGAACCGACACATACTGATTATGCAGAATTATGTTGTTATGCAGATTCTGAATGGGCGAGTGATAAGAAATCACGTAAAAGTACTTCAGGTTATATGATGTTCTTAAATGGATGTCCTGTTTATTGGCAAGTGCGTAAACAGAATTTTGTTTCTTGTTCATCTACTGAAGCTGAATATGCTTGTGTTTCAGATGCATGTAATTCCCTAACGTGGTTTGATGCTTTGGTCACAGATATCTGGACACACCCGATCAGACCGATCACCGTGATGGAAGACAATGAATCAGTGATTTATATTTCTGAATCACATTTCACAGGTTCTAGGTCCAGACACATTGACATCCGTTATCAAAACATAAAACAATTAGTGAAAAAAGGTTTTGTTAAATTGCAGGATGTATCTACACATGATCAAATTGCTGATATGCTCAACAAACCGCTTCCAGCAGCTCAACACGAGTATCTGCGTAAGAAGATGTGCCTTATTTGATGAAGTACTTGATGTCCGCTCAACTGGTAAAGAAGGGGATTGTCACTGCGTTTTTTTGTATTTGACAGCTGTGCTTGAACTCTAAGACTTACCGTAGCTGATCAGAGCTCTTATCTCTAAGCTAACTGCACATGTCCACATTCTTTCACTTTCTTCTATCTTTTCTTTGTTCTCCGGCCAAGAGAGGTAGCCGGGAAAGCTTTGCCAAGATGTAACTAATTAGCTAGTAAGATGTTTTTACTTCTTTATAATAAAACGTGTTTATTAGAATATATCTCAGTTTTATTTTCTTAAAGTATACTTCAAGGGAAAGTCACGATCCATTCTCTAATCAAGGTGCAATTACCCAAAAGCAGAATGGGATTAATTGCCACCCTGACATGGTTTTCCCAGTTGCAATGGATGGCTGTGAAAGTTGGACCGTAAGGAAGGCTGAGCGCCAAAGAATGGAGGCCTTTGAACTCTGGTGCTGGAAAAGACTCCTGCGAGTCCCTTGGACTGCAAGGCGATCAAACGGGTCAGTCCTAGAGGAGATCAACTCTGACTGCTCTTTAGAAGGCCAGGCCCTGAAGATGAAACTCAAATACTTTAGCCACCTAATGAGAAGGACTCACTGGAGAAAAGCCTAATGCTGGGAAAGACTTAGGGTAAAAGAAGAAGGGAGTGACAGAGAATGAAGTGGAGGGATGAAGTCACTGAAGCAGTCGTTGTGAGCTTAAATGGACTCTAAAGGGTGGTAGAGGACAGGAAGGCCTGGAGGAACGTTGCCCGTGGGGTCGCGATGGGTGGAACATGACTTTGCAACTAACAACAACAACAACAAAAGTTTATTTCCTTTGGTGACTGGTATACTTGATTTGAGCACTGTTTTCTGTCCCTTAGCGTTAGCGTTGAGGCCATCGTAGCCCTTTCTTCTGTGCCTGTTGTGCGGCCATTGGGCTTTCTGCTGCACTATTAATATTAATGCCGTAATAAGGCGTTTAATAATAAAGATACAGATAATAATTTTTAAATGCCACTAAAAAGTTTTTTTTTTTTTGCGGCTGCTATACCTACTTGGACCACAGGATGGCACTATTCCTTAGCAATAGCATTGAAGCTACCATAGGCCATTTTTAGTCGGTTTAAGTCTTTTGAAACAGGATTCCTTCTTTTATTTCTGTGTTGTAGCCCCTGGGCCTCCTGTTGCCCTATTAATATTAATAAGATGTTTAATCATAAAAATGCAGAATAATAAACTTAAAATTCCATTAAAATCTCACCGTGCCGAGAAGGTCGCTGCGCACGGAAGTTGGGGGGATGACTAAGAAGAATGGACAGGAAGTCAGCCGTGATGGAAAGGTCGTCTTCCAAAGGCACTGTGGGACGGCCCCGGAGAACGGACCGGAACTCGGCCGTGCTGGGAAGGCTGCTGCGAAAAGAAATTGGAAGGGGACGCCGGCAAAGGGCAGAAAGGAGTCGGCTATACTAGGAAGGTCGCTCAGAGAAGCCCTGGCACAGAATTCGGCAGCATTGCCTTTTGTGGCTGCTATTCCTACTTGGACCGCTGGATGGCACAATTTTCTATTCCTCGGCTGCAGAACAGGCACAAAGGAAAGAATCATGTTTCAAAAGCCTTCAACCGAATTCAAAGGCTTCAATAGATACAGAATAATAGTCTTAAAATGCCATCTAAAAGGTTTATTTCTTTTTGTGGTTCCAATTCCTGCTTTCACCACCGGGTGGCACACAGTTTTCTGTCCCTTAACTATGATGGCCTCAATGTTAATGCTATGGGACAGAAAACTCTGCCATCCTGTGGCCAAAGCAGGTATTGCTGCCACAAAAAGAAATAAACCTCTTTATTAAATATTAATATTAAAAATTTAATATTAAATAAATATTAAATTTATTTAATTTAATAGTTATTAAATTATAAATTATAAAATAATTACAAAAACAATATTAATAGGCCATCATAGGTCTTCTTATCTCTGTTTAAGGGTTTGGAAGCAGGATTTCTTTTCCTCTCTTGCAGCAAAGTGGCTTCCTGTCGCCCTATTAATCAGACGTTAATAATAAAGATGCAGGATAATCTTGAAACGCAGTTAAAAGTTTATTTCTTATTGTGGCTGCTATATCTGCTTGGACCACAGGAGGGCACTGTTTTCTGTCATTTAGCAATAGCATTGAAGCTATCGAGATATTACTTTATCGTGGTAGTAGGAAGTAGGGGGATGACTATAAAAGTTGGACAGGAAGTCAGCCGTGCCGAGAAGGTTGCTGCACAAGGAAGTTGGAGGGATGACTAAGAAAGATGGACCGGATGTCGGCCATGGCAGGAAAGTCCTTTTCAAAGGCACTGGGGGAGGATCGCGATGAATGGACAGGAAGTCCGTCATGCCAGGAAACCCTTTCAGAGATGTCTGAAGAGGAAGCCGGGGGCCATGCGAAAAAGGCCAACGGAAGCGGCTGATCTTTTTCAGAGGAGCATAGAATAGCGGTGCTTTTGGTGCTGCTCTGCACTTTGGAGCTTTATTTCTCGGTTGCCACGATCCTGGGCAAAAGCGGAGGAGGAGTCGTTGTCAGCACGTTGCCCTCCCTGTTTTATTTTTTTCCTGAACAATAAAATATAATTCTGCCTGAAATTGTTTTTATCTTTTTCCCCCAGAACTTCTGTTGAGCAAACTATATTGGGTCAAATTCACCTGAACCTTACCTTTATCAAGGTCTTTTGCAACACTAAAAATCAGGCAAGCTCTCTTAAAACCCATATTTCTTAACAATTATGATAGTATTTCCATGAGTTTAAGCAGGCGGTACGTGGCTACAGCACATTACCGCAACTGTCAAGAGGATTTAATTCTGGCCTTTCCGTGTTCACCCACCCCACCCTCCCTGCACCGAATAACAGGTCAACCCTTTCATCTGGGATTACATTGTGGATGATGGGTTTTATCAGCAAGAGACCTGAAATGAAGTTACAGATTGATCAAATTTCTGCCCATCTCGCTATGAAGCAATTCTGGGTCTTCCATTCAAACACTCACAGGGGCTTCAACCTCAAGGAGGGGAGGCTGATCACCCACTTGCCTCCTTCCCCAAACTGGGCGGTTGCAACCTCCCGCCTCATCCCCACCCTCTGCTACTGCTTCCATGCTGGCTCTCTGCTCCCCCCTCCCCCACAGTCCTAAAACCTCCCAAAGAGAGCTAACAAAACCAGCAAAAGAAACAAACGCTAAGGTTATTTTCAGGGCTACTTTGTGCAGGAAAGTTTCCTTTGTAAGAGGGAAACGCCACCAAGACAATGCCAGGGCCAGTAAGACATAATAGGACGTCATAGTACAAGATCAATTCAGAAAGGTAAAGGCCACAGGCATAGGAAAACGATCTTCCCAAAATAGAACACATAAACATCAGGGCCATTTAGGAACAAAAGAGGACCCAGGGAAATGACACACACAAAAGACCCAGGACATACCAGGAAAGAAACTATCAAAACAGCAGAAACTAGGAGAGCAAAACAAAAGGAATGGCAGAGGATTAGCTAAGGAAAAGATTTAATCAATAGCCCAGGCAATCTGATAAGAGTCAAGCCGGGGATAAGGGCTTACCTGATAACGACATGATCAGTTTAAGGCAGGGAGCAAAGAATAAGAACAGAAAGAAACGAACACAAAACCAGATAACCAAGACACCACCCAGTTTCAAGTGGAGAAGAACTAGAATAAGAAAACACAGGGCGATCCATGAATGCATACACAAAAAGGAAACCCACAAAAGAAACAAAGAATTTCCTTTGTACAGAAAAGTATAAAAATGTACACTTACCTTGTAACGATGTCAGCTCACCCAGGAACGCCGGTTCGTGCAGTTGCCGGATCTGTCTTCCTGAAACGAAAATAAAGAATCCTGTTTTCATGCAGCTCGCTTCGCTCATTAATCTACTCGCCGTGTCTGCGGCGCTCTCCCAGCCGGGAAATTCGAATCCTTTTGGGGAAACCTCTACAGAAATTCAACATCTTTATCCCAGGAACACGCAGATTCAGTCTCTGAGCTAGAGAGCTCCAGATGGGTAGATTCATCTTCCTAGTTATGGGAAGAACTAAAACCTTTTTTATTGTCATGGGGAGCGGAACCTTCTGGGTCAGATTTCGGGAGTTCTCTGGACCCCTGAAACTAACGGTCGTCATCATCAGTGCATTACCAAGCCTGCTCAGCTTGGATTGGTTTGAGGCCCTGGGATTGGGAGTGACCGGAATCAACACCATGACGACGCAGACAACCTCATCCGAGAGTTTGAGGACTTATTCAGCAACAGGCTGGGCAAGTATAAAGGAATGCCTATTTCATTCAGCCTAGACCCAAAAATTGCCCCAATTAGGCTCAAATTGCAAAGGGTCCCTCTTGCCCTCAAACCCAAAATCGATAAAGAATTGGATAAACTAATTGGCCAGGGAATCCTTGAACCCGTCGATCATTCCCAGTGGGAAACCCCTATCGTCATGCCTATTAAGGCTGACAGATCAGTCCAGGTCTGCGCAGACTATAAATGTACCATCAATAAGGCCCTACAACAGAGCGACTATCCCATACCCATCGTTTAGCACCTGCTTCATTCATTAGGAAAAGGGAACACATTTGCTAAGCTCGACCTGGCAGAGGCTTACCAGCAGTTGCCACTCAATGACAGCACAGCTGAAGCACAGACGATTGTTACGCACAGAGGTGCGTTCAAGTGTCGCTGGCTACAATTTGGTGTGAGCGTGGCACAAGGACTGTTCCAAAGTATAATGGAATGGGTATTACAGGGTATTCCCGGGGTAGTGCCCTATTTTGATGATGTCCTGGTGTCCGCTGCTAACAAAGCAACACTATTCGACCGTTTGAGAGTGGTACTCACTAAATTTAGAGAAGCCAGACTTAAAGTCAAACGCGAGAAATGTCAAATAGCAGTATCTAGGGTGGAATTCCTGGGCTGCCTGATTAACGGGTCCAGGATACACCCCATTAAAAGCAAAGTTCCAGCAATTAAGGATGCGCCCACTCCCAAAAATAAAAAAGAATTGCAATCATTCCTGGGATTGTTTAATTTTTATAGCATGTTCTGACACAGAAGACAACTGTGGAGGAACCTTTGCACTGGCTGCTAGGAAAAAAGGTTTCCTGGATCTGCGGTCGCACTGAATCCGCTGCATTTGAAGCGGTAAAAAGACTTTTATTTATTTATTTATTTTATTAGTCATATTTCTATGCCGCCCACTCTCCGAGGACTCTGGGCGGCTTACACCAAAGACAGTATACTAAATAACATATTGCCCCCAACAATCTGGGTCCTCATTTTACCCACCTCGGAAGGATGGAAGGCTGAGTCAATCTTGAGCCGGTGAGATTTGATCCTCTGATCTGCTGAACTAGCAGTCAGCTGAAGTAGCTGCAATACTGCACTCTAACCACTGCGCCACCTTTGTCATCTGACAGTGTGCTAGTCCACTATAGCGAGACACTACAATTGGTGCTAACGTGTGATACCTCCCCATTTGGGGTCGGGGTTGTCCTTAGCCACCGTCTGCCTAATGGCCCATTGCCTATTACTCTAGGACCCTGTCCTCCGCCAAGCGAAACTACAGCCAGCTGGACAGGGAAGCACTGGCTGCAGTCGCTGGGGTCCGGAGGTTCCATGACTACTTGTACAGGAGAGACTTCATGCTTGTCACCGATCATAAACCCCTTCTGGGTTTATTGACCGGAGACCGTCCCACACCGACAATCTTGTCCCCCAGAATGACCAGGTGGACTATTTTTCTGGCGGCTTATAGCTACCGGCTGATTCACCAGCCCGGAAAATCCCTGGGTCACATGGACGCTCTCAGCCACTACCCGCTGCCTACTCTGGTTAAAGACCCTGCCCCCATTTGCCCGGTTCTGCTTATCAAGGACATTGACACCAGGGCAATTACTGCAACCGAAATTGCAAGCTACTCAGCTAAAGATAAAGACTTACTGCAAATAATGATCTATGTATGGCGAGGGTGGCCGGGTAGCCCATTTCAGGGTACTGTGCAACCATATTATGTACGCCAAGATGAATTATCTTTGTTGAAGGGTTGTCTGTTGTGGGGGGAGAGGGTTGTCATACCTCCCAGATTAAGATGTGCTGTGCTAGAAGTTTTACATGTGGGACATCCTGGAATAGTCAGGATGAAAGCCCTGGCTCGGAGCTATGTCTATTGGCCAAATATGGACCGGGAAATAGCAGAATGGGTCACCACCTGCTCACCGTGTCAGGAATCCAGACCGGCATCCCTCTCTACCCCGGCAAGGGAATGGGAAACCCCTAATGCACCATGGTCCAGGGTGCATATTGACTTTGTAGGACCAGTAAAGGGCCAAACCTTCCTAATTGTGGTCGATGCATTTTCTAAGTCGCTGGAGATATTCCTTTTTTAAAAAAGTTTTTTATTTTTATTTCTTAAACACATATTGTAAATGTACATTCTCTTATCCATAATTGATTATATATATATATATATATTCCTAATGAAAGCATAAAAATAAGACATTTGGGGTTGCTCTTCTATCCTCTCTTTTCCCTCTTTTCACAATAAACCTTCTCCTCCTTTCTTTCCCCTCCCCCCTCCCTCTTCTCTTCTACTTTCTTCCACCTCCTCGCCTCTCCTCCCCTACTTCCCCTTCCTCTCCCCCACTCCTCCCCTCTTTTCCCCCTTTCTCGCCTTCTCTCCTGCTCTTGTCCCCTATCCTTTCTTCCTCTCCTTCCCTTTTCTTCCATTCCTCTCTCTCCCTCTCCTCCTCTTTCCTTTCTTTCTCCTTTGTTGTGCAGTATTTCCCTTATTTGGTATCCTAGCAACTCCAATTTTCTAATAATATATACTTTCTTTTCAATTTCCTATTTTACCCAATCCATCATTTCATAATTGTACATTTATATTTATAATTTTCTTTCTCCCCCCCCCCTCCAATCCCCCTTTTCCATTTACTCTGGTGTCATCTGAGTTTCTATTTGGTTTTTATCTTATCTCTCATTTAACTTTCTATTATTTATATCATTTATCTATCAACTTTTATTCATATTTCTTTTCTATCCATACGTAGAATCTTTCCCATGTCTTGAAATACACCGATTCCTCTTTATCTTTTATTCTTAGCGTCAATCTGTTCATTTCTGCACAGTCTAAAATCTTTTTTTATTACTTCACCTTCTGACGGGATTTTCTCTGTCTTCCAATTTTGTGCAAATACAATTCTTGCTGCTGTTATTATATGTATAATTAAGTATACTTCTTCTTTGCTATATACCCAATAGAAAAATCTCTGGTTTTAATTCTATAGGTTTATGTAACATTTCCTCTAACCATATCTGTATTGTAGACCAATAGTTTTTTGCTTCCGTACATAACCACCACATATGATATGATCCCGGCAAATGCAAACATTTCCAGCATTTAGCTGATTTGTCGTTAAACATTTTTGCTAGACTTTCTGGTGGCATATGCCATCTATAAAACATTTTATATAAATTTTCTTTATGTGCAGTTGCTATAGTCCATTTATAATTCCTTTCCTATAGTTGTTGCCATTTCTCTAATACTATTACATAACCAAAGTTTTTTGCCCATGTTATCATTGTCTCTTTTACTTTTTCATCTTCTAATCTAATCTGCAGTAGATAATTATACAATCTTTTAATCCTTTTTTCGTCCTTTCTAGTCATTATCTGATCCAACTCTGATTCCCACAAATTAAAACCATATTGTTTCAGATCTTTATCATTTTGTAGACCAAAATCTCCTCTAGTCCTAGCGTCTTGAAGCAGCTTAATATTAATTCTTGCTTTCTTTTCTTGCCATATATATTTCCACATCATTTTATTCAAACTTTCAAAATATTTTTTCTCCAGCTTTATTGGAATTGTTTGAAAAAAGAACAAAATTCTTGATAGTACATTCATTTTGATTAGCGCTATTCTTCCCATTAACGATAGTTGTAGATTTTTCCATTTTTCCAAGTCTATTTCAATTTGATTTCTCAGTTGAATGAATTAATTTTCAGCTGTTTTAATAAAATAAGTTTGTTCAGGACTGAATTGTGTTTGGTAATCACTACTTGGGCCTTGGTCACAACATAGGTGCTTTCCCGGGCGGTGGGTCGGCACGTAGTCATAGGCTGCCAGAAACACAGTCCATCGGGTCATGCACCTGTGGCGTTTGGCAGTTTCCAGCTAGCGGCCCCAAGAGTGGCTTGTGATCGGTGATGAGCTCAAAGTAGCGGCCATAGAGATAGTTGTGAAAACGCTTGACACCAGCCACCACAGCCAGAGCTTCCTTGTTGATCTGGCTGTAGTTGCATTCTGCGGTGGCCAATGTCCTGGAGAAGAACACAGTGGGCGCTTCAGTGTCCATCTGTTGGCTAAGGATGGCACCAACCCCATATCAGGAGGCATCGCAAGCCAGAGCAAGGGAATGTTCTCATTGTATTGGGCAAGAACGGCATTGGAAATTAGCAGTTGTTTGACAGCTCTGAAGGCTCTGGCTTCTTTCCTTCCCCAGGACCAAGGAGATTTCTGATTGAGTAGCCGGTGCAAAGGTTTGGCTACCAATGCCTTGTGTGGGAGAAAAATAGCGTAGAAATTTAAAAGTCCAAGAAAGGCTTGGAGTTCAGTCTTACTGGCAGGCATCGGGGCCTCCTGGATGGCTTTGGTCTTTTTGGTGATCAGGTGTAAGCCGGCTGAGTCTATGAGGAACCCCAGGATTTCTACCTGAGGTACTGCGATGTTGCACTTGTCTTGTTTCACCTTGAGGCCAACCTGCTGAAACCAGTGGAGCATGGTTCTTAGTCTGGTCATAAGTTTGGGCCGGCTGGTTGCAGAGATAAGGATGTTGTCAAAATAGGGAACAACTCCCGGAATGCCTTGAAGCAGGCATTGTATTAAGCTCTGGAACAGTCCCGGGGCCACGCTGACTCCAAATTGGAGACAGCAGCATTTGAAGGCTCCTTTGTGGGTGATGATCATTTGGGCCTCAGCAGTAGCATCATCTACTGGCAGTTGCTGGTAATCCTGTGCCAAATCCAGTTTAGAAAAAATGCTGCCATTCCCCAAGGAATGCAGGAGGTGCTGAACTACAGGCACTGGATAGGCATTGGCTTGTAAGGCATGATTCAGTGTGCACTTAATAGTCCGCACAAATGCGAATTGTGCCATCAGGTTTGATGGGAGTGACAATTGGGGTCTCCCACCTGGCATGGTCCACAGGTTCCAGGATTCCTTTAGCGATAAGCTTATCCAGCTTACCATCCACCTTTGACTTTAATTTTTATTTATTTATTTATTATATTTCTATACCGCCTTTCTCCTGTAGGACTCAAGGCGGTGTACAGTCAAGAAAAATATAGACACACAAACATCATAAAATTGCTAATTAAAATTATTACTTAGTTTGGTCAATTAAATAAAACCCAGAATTAGATAACATTTAAAAATTCATTCACATGTTCATATTTTTAGCCCCGCCTGTTGGAACATCAGGGTCTTGAGGGCACGGCGGAAAGCACGGAGATCAGGGATATTCCGTATCTCCAGGGGCAGTTCATTCCAAAGGGTTGGAGCCCTCACAGAGAAGGCCCTCCCCCTGGGAGTCGCCAGTCGACATAATTTGACTGACGGTACCCTGAGTAGTCCCTCCCTGTGAGAACGAACTGGTCTTTAACGACTTTAATCTAATGGAATACAACGTGGCTTGAGGCGGATGGGTGTCACCTGGGGATTCAGGTTGAAAGAGACAGGGATTCCTGTGTAGGTGCCCAGTTTGCCATTGAAGACGGATGGAAATTCTTTAGTCAGTGTTTCTAGGTCTGTGCTCTTGATTGAATTGATTCCGCTAATGGTTAGGCCCAAGGACTCAAACCAATCGAGTCTAGAAGACTAGGCAAGGACCCGTCAACCACCACTAAGGGTATGGTGCTGCTGAATTCTTTGAACTAGACCTTGAACTGGCCGCTACCTAAAATGAGAATGTGGTTTCCCTGATAGTCTCTTAGGATTAGGCCACAGGGTTTCAGACGTCTCTTGGCGATCTTGGGCATTAGATGCTTCAAGGTGCTCCAGGAAACTATTGATGTTGCAGACCCCATGTCCACTTTCATGCGACAGGGTGTTCCTTCGATCCAGATGGTGAGGCGAATTTTTTTCTTGAGACGGTTAGTGGTTTGGTGGATGACCGTGTCTGCCTGGGTATGGCCCTGAAAAATAGCATAGCAGTCTTCCCTGGTTCTAGGAGACCTCTGTGGTGGGCAGCTGATGTAGGGGGGTCTTGCTGGTTGAACCAGCAGTGGCTGGACAGCTCTGCATATTCTGGCCAGATGACCCTTTCGTCCACAGTGCCAACAAATGGTGTCTTTAAAATTACATGCCACCCGTGGATCCACCTCCTCCTCCTCAGTTTTGACTCCAGGGTCAAAACTGACTCCACATAGTTTGACTCCACATAGTTAATTGTGACAGTTTTCCTTAAGGCAGGTGGGCTTTGGGTCCTATGAATCTTGGCCATTGACTGGGTGGACATTTTGGCCATGCGGGCTTCATCCAGCATGGTTTGAAAGGTGAGGTCTGATCTGACCAGCAATCGACGTTTAAGGAGGATGTCCCTCACTCCATAGACTAATCAATTTAGCAGGTAATCCTGAAGGTTGAAAAACTCGCAATAAAGAGCTGCTTTCCTTAGGGCTGCCACATAATGGTTTATGGATTCGCCTTTCTCTTGGTTTCTGTGGTAAAAGGCATAGCGACAGGTGATCCTGGAATGTGCCGGTACATAGTGATTTTTTAACTTGACCAGTAGTGTGTTCCAGAATACTGAGTAGATTGATTGAGGGGCAAGGAGAGCCCTTGTGGTCTCAAACATCTCTGTTCCATAGAAACTGAGGAAATAGGCGCGCTTTCGATCACTGGAAAGCTCCATGTAGGCATTCACTATTAGGAAGCATTTGAATCACTCCATGTAAGACTCCCATGTCTCTGTTGCCTGGTTGAAAGGCACGAAATTATTTTGGGTAGCCATTCCTGTCAGACGTGACAGATTAGATGAATGCATCTGTATGAAATGGCTTTCGAAATGGCATTTCGTCCTTAGTGACTGAGCTCTTTACGTAGTGACTCGCTCATTCTGTCACCTCAGTCCTGTGATTCCACCTTCATTGCCAGTGTTCTGTTTTGAGAACAAGGCAGGCCACAAGAACCGAGGTGAGACAGAGACAATAAACAGCTAACCATTTAATTCTAACCATTCGCTAACAGTGCAACAGCTCATTGACAGGACTGCTGATTGCCCGTCTGACAGCTGCTTTTATACTCGGCTGTCAGATGGGGCGACCAATCAGGTTTGAACTTCGCTCTTGCTAGGGGAGCGGACCAGAGTAAGAACTTGGAACACAACACTCAACCTTTCCAATAAAGCTTAGGGAACTGCAATGGCCTTGTGAGTTCTGCCTCTCCCAGGGGACACCAGCTGATGTAGGGTCCCGCTGGGAAAAGTCCCGCTCCTTACCTCTAAACTCCAAACTCTCATTCTCACCCCTGGCACAAAGGATAGGATGGTCATCTTGGCATCTACACACTCGACCATCTCTCTTTCCCAAAAGGCAGACTGATGTAACATCTTTGTAGCAGGATTCTCACCTGCATCCATCGACCAGGCTGTAGTTCTAGAAAGAAAGTGGGGGAAACAGGTGTTATTCCGACTGCTTCTTGCCCCAAAAAGGGGCTAAAGAAAAATACAAAACAGCTACTGAAATTGCCCCTAATGCTCAGAAAAATAGTGCCAAACTCAATAGGACGCAAAATATCGGAACTAGCCTGTGCTTCATCTGCTTGTTGCAAAGGCTTGCTGCAAAGCTACTTCACCTACCTGTCCCATCTCCTCCCTTGCGTTTTGGGTGGTGGTGGTGGTGCTGCTGCTTACATAGCCCCCTGCAGGTCCTTTCTGAATCTCCCCCTCTGGCCAGAAACTAAAGGGTCAGGCACATAGCAAAGGGCCTTCTCTGCACAGCTACCAGACTGTGCAACAGGACCCTGGACAGCAGCTCTTTGCCAGCCTCTCGGAGCATTTAAGGATATGGCAGTTGGGCGCCTCTTTGACAGAGCTTCAACTTGAAATTTATCCCAATGCTTAATTGGAACTAATTTCAATGGCACAGAATTCCTCCAATTTTCACTCGTTGTTACTTGTATCAAACAAGTAACAAAGTGACGGTTTAAGAAACAAAAGTACCGGTGTCGCAGGTACACGCTGTTACGGCTACTCTTTGGGTGGTTTATGGTACATAACAGCGGCCAGCAATTAACCTTACAGTGATTTTCAAAGTACAGGTTACAGTTATGTTTATTGCTAGTGTTTAATTTGGTACACTAAGTTTTAAGGTGTAATCTACGTTTCTGGTTATTTCTAATTTTGCATTTAAAATTACATTACACTAATTTTACGTCACACTCCGAGGCGGAAGGCGAAGGAGCCCTTCGGCGTGGTAGGGGGAGGAAGCAGAGTCTGCACATGCGCAGACCCTCCTCGCCAGGCGGTTCCATGGCGGCGGCGGCGGCGGCGGCGGCGAAGAGGCTCTCGGTGGAGGGCAACATCGGTGAGGGGGGGGAGGGGCGGCGCGGGGGGGGGGGGCACTGGCGGCTGGGCGGCCCTTGACGCCTCTCCTCCTCCTCCTCCTCCTCTCCGCAGCGGCGGGCAAGTCGACCTTCGTGGGGCTGCTGCGCAGAGCCTTCCCCCGGTGGAGCCTGACCGCCGAGCCGGTGGCCAAGTGGCAGGAGGTCCGAGCCGCCCGCCAGGTAGGCTGGACGCGGCCCCCGGAGGAAGCCGCCCGCGGCTGCGACCCCACTTCGCCGGCGGAGCCCCTGCAGCTCTCCCCGCCACCATGTGGCCGAGCCGCCGCTGGGGAGGCCGCGCCGGTTTGGCCATTGCCAGGCCCGCGGGTGGCTGCGCAGAGCCTGCCCGGACTGGCGAAGGGAGGCCACGGGCACGCCGGGCCCCTCGGAGGGAGGGAGGGAGGGGAGGGAGGGGAGGGAGTTCTCCTCGGCCTTGGAAAGGAGGCCGAGACGCCGGCCGGGCCCCTCGTGGGGGGAAGGTCCCTCCGTCTCCCTCTCCCCACGAGCGGGCGGGCGGGCGGGCGGGTGAAGAGCAGGAGGGCAGCTCTTCCTCCTCCTCCTCCCTCCTCCCTCCTCCCTCCTCCTCAGGCCTCCGCTTCCCCAAACTTCGGGAACCTGCTCCAGCTGATCTACCGAGACCCTTCCCGGTGGTCCTACACCTTCCAGAGCTACTCGTGCCTGAGTCGGCTGAAGGCGCAGCTGGAGTCCCTTGCCGCCCAGAGCCCTGAAGCGGTGATGGTGTTCGAGAGGTCGGTCTACAGCGACAGGTACGTGGCGCGGTTTGCTTCCTTCGCCTCTCCCTGTGGTGGCAGGTAAAAGGAAAGGGCTGTGGGAAGAATCGTGCCCCCCCCCCCCCCCCCCCCCCCCGCCCCCGAAAAGGAAGAGCAGGGTTAAAACTAAAAGGCAGGAAAGAAGCCCCAGAGAATAAAAATACCGTCTCCTGTTTTCTTTCTTCTCACCTCTTCTCTCTCAATAAGAAATCCCTGTCGCAGGCTAATAGCCTGCACAAGCCCCATTCACAAAATAGATTCATTCATTTAGCTCCGGTTACAATAACAATATCTTGGGCTGGCTGGCTCATTGATAAAATCCAGCTAGAAGTCATAGAGGAACCAAAATTAATAGAATAAAAACAAACACACAACAGGATTAAAGTCACATTATCTGACACGAATAAGAAAATGGTATTATCTGTCAGGATTAGGACCATGGGGGAAACCATCGTTCTAGAGTTCCAGCCTTCGGGGGAAATAAACAACACCAATCAAACAACAAAGGTATACAAAAGCAACACTGTAAAGCAGCGATCACCAACCTTTCAGACTTCAGGGACCACTAAATTCATAATTTTAAATCCCGTGGACCACTAATATGATCTGCTTAATGACCGACTGGGTGGGCGTGGCTAGGTGGGTATGTGACTGGGTGGGTGTGGCCAACTTGATGTCACTCACGTTGAGGGGTGCCTCGCCGGCCTCTACTCAACCCTTCCCTCCCAGCCACTCCTTGCCTGCCTGTCCCGGCTCCTTAGGGCCCCAACAGGAAGCAGTTGTTGGAGCTAAGCAGCCACCATGAGAAAGAGTTGGCAAAACAGCTCAGTTCAGATTGGATCGGACGGAGAAGGAGGCTCAGCAGAAGCACCTCACTGAGGACTAGGAGCATAGGCTTTCCAAGCAGAGGAAAGACCTGCAGGAGTACAAAGCCAGGTACCGGTGCCTGGAGGCTCAGCAGGCTGAGATGGTCAGCCAGTTCCAGGCCATGATGCAGTCCCACTGGAACAAGGCCCTCCGGCTCCTTGCCACCCCTCCAGCCTTTGCCCAAAGCCCAGCACCAGGAGGCCAAAGCAAGACCCCAAGTTGGAATTTCTGACCCCCTCCGATCCACACAAAAAGACCCAAAGGGGCAGCAACACAAGCGTTAATTGCACAAATCTGTCCCAGGAGCTGTCGTTTGAGGACCCCTGATTTAGTGCACTATATATAATGCAAATAATTTTTCTGTGGACCACCAAAATTTTCTCGCGGACCACCAGTGGTCCATGGACCACCGGTTGGTGACCGCTGCTGTAAAGGGTATAAAAATCTCTGTACTCACCGAGGCAGTTGTCCAGCTGACCCAGAAGCCACTGCTGTCCCAGGACCATTGGATTCAGTAATAAAACCTCCTTTCCGAATAGCCTGCTTCCCAGTTCTTTTTTTCTCCACCAGCACTGATTGCTCCACCCTGGCTGGAGAGAATGAACCACAGAGGAACTTTTTCCTTCTAACAGGGAAGAGGAGGCCTGCTCTTAAAAGGGAATTGGCGTCCAGCCTTCCTCTATTGCTACAATCTGATAAACAAAAAAGTGTTCTCAAAAACAGGGGAAAAATTTGATTTGGTGTGTTTTTTAGTAAGGACTTACCAAATTTCACAATTCATTAAAAGAAAAGACAAGAACGAGGATTTAAAGAAACAAATGTAAAAGGAGCACTGACAGATTGGTTGATTGATCCATCCATCCATCTGTAGAAATCATAATTCACTAAATTGTGTGTATTGTTTATGAGATACAGTTTAAAGATGGTGGCAGGCACAAGCTGCAATTTTTTTTACAAATACTGTAAGTCTAAGGCAGGGGTCTCAAACTCCTGGGCCTCAGCCTGTTCAGAACCCGGGCCGTGCAGCTCCATTTCCACAAGTGGCGGGCATCCACGTGCGCAAATGCCTGCTGCTCATGGAAATTGAGCTGCATGCACAAGCACCTGTCCCTCATACTGAACCATTTCCTCTTTGCCCCACCCTAACCTTAACCTTAACCCCTCCCATTGGTTCGCAAAGCCAGAAAGGTTGAGGACCCCTGATATGTAAGGTGTTTCTGACAGAAAAGCAGCTTCAGATTATCAGGAAAAATATTCTGGGAAATATTCTTGGAATTGACCAAGAAAGGGCTTGCACATGAACACTGGAATGGTTCTGTAATGGTGGGAGGGAAGCCTACACCCTCTGAGCTTTGGGGGAGGGGGGAATGCAGAAATGATCTCGGGAGAAAGATAACTCACGCACAAGAAAATGGCCCCTCGGATAGAGGTTCCTATTCTTTCCTCACTTCTCTCCTAGGAGCCTGCCAGCTTCTTAACATATTTGTGAATCTTGCTCCTATTATTCCTAGTTACTGTGGCCCAAAGTATGGGAATTGTAGTTCAAGGCAACTGAAAAGCACGAGGTTAGGATATGTGCATAAGGTTAGATAACTGAATCCTTGCCTACTTGTAGCTTCAAGGTGGTGTCACTGGCTTGTCTCTCCTTCCTCAGGTACATCTTTGCAAAAAATCTCTTTGAGATTGGCCACATGACTGAGATTGAGTGGATCATTTACCAGGATTGGCACAACTTCCTTCTGCAAACCTTTGGGAACCAACTTGCCCTCCATGGCTTTCTTTATCTCCGAGCCCCTCCAGAGGTAACCGAAAGTAACTGTTTTGTAACTGAAAGTAACAGCTTTCTCTCTTTTCATTACTGCTCTTTACTAGTCTTTAGTGTTCTTTCATAATGACGTATCTCCTGTTTGAGCTCTTCTTCCTAGCCGCCTGTTTCCGCTGCCTTCAACCCATGTTATGTGCCAGGCATAAAAAAAAAACCCTTAAGCTTCCTCCAATTCCTTCATATCTTCTCTCACTCAAAATCTGGTAGAATAATTGCTGGACTGTGAAACCAGCAGTACATGCCCCCACCCCCACCCCGTTAGCTGTTTAGCAAATTGGATCCTGGTGGGTGGCTGCTTTTGGGAGCAACAGCCAGTCTTGTGAGAAACTCAGCAATCCAGTTAGGGTGCCTTGCAGAAGGGATCGCTTCTGTTCCTTTTCTTCGAAGCAGCTGTAGGTTTTTTCCTTCCCCAGAACCTACACAGCGGGAGGGAGGGGGAGTGTCACTACCCTGGCAGGAAGCCTCCAATGATTGGTTGGGCAAAAGTCCCCAGAGCTTTTGGGCATCTTGAGCTGTTTAGCAAGGTTGCTTTCTCCTTTCTAGGTGTGCTTTGAGAGGCTGCACTGCCGATCCAGGCCTGAAGAGAAGGACGTCCAGCTATCTTACCTGGAGCAGCTTCACATCCAGCATGAAAACTGGCTTGTGAAAAAGACTTCTGTGTGGGTCCCAGCAGGGGCTGTTCTCCACAATGGCTGACACGACCATGGTCTGCTTTCTGGGAAGGATGTTCATGGAGGCAGCAGGGGAAGAGTCCTAGGAATAGTACCATGGGAGAGGATTGCAGATGGGGCCGGGGAGGAAGGTTGGAGGAGAAGGACCACAGCAATGTGAAAAAGAAGGGAGTTACATTACAAAATGGGGAAAATAATAATAATCCAGAATTACTTTGAGGTGCTATATAAAAAAGAAGAAACAGACGAGAATATAAACCAATACTTAAAGGTTAATGGTTTGCCGGAACTAAAAGAAGAGCAGAGGGAAATATTAAATAAAGAGATAGCAGCCACCGAATTAAGAAGAACAGTGCAAAAACAAAAAAGTAATAAAACCCCGGGGCCAGATGGTCTTCCAGGGGAGGTATATAAGAGCTTGTATGAGGATTCTGAAATGATACTACTGGAAGTTTAAAATGATATATTAGAGAAAGCCAAATTACCAGACTCCTGGACTGAAGCCTATATATCCCTTATTCCAAAAGAAGGTACAGACCCCAAACAAAAAATTGCAGGCCAATTTCGTTGTTGAACACTGATTAGTGTGCTGAATTATTTTTATTAGGAATAATTAATCAAAGGATAAAGAAGCAACTCCAATATATCATTTTACACATAGTAACAGCAGCACAAATTGTTTATGCTCAATGT